TATTTAGGAGGGAAAAGGTAGCTCTTTATCCAGAAAAAAAGCAGGGGGGTCTCTAAAATATGATGTGTAGAGAATGAAGGCAAATCACAGACAGACACACCCTTTACAAAGATTTACCTACAAACACATCTCAAGAAGCCTGGGAGGACTTGTTACAGAATGCAAACAGTTGTTCCCAAGTCACATCTTGCTACTCCCAGAAGAGGTGATGGATGCTTAAATGTCCTTAATTTTTGCATTTGCCATTCCACCCACCTGGAAAGCCAGTCAGTTGTTCTTCCCTTCCTGTGAATGCCTGCCCATCCCTCCGGGCTCCGGTAAATACTGCTACCTCTCTGACAGGCATCAGTGTAGCTCACATCACTCTCTGTGTCCTCATTGTCTCCCTCACAACGTTGTCATTTCAATTAGCTGCTTGTGTGCTTCCCACAAGCCTTCCCAGTAGACTGAGCTTTAGGACTGCAGAATCATATTTTTATTTCTTACTCCAGGGCCTCCCCAGCCTCTCTAGGGAGAGGTTAAAACCTCATTGGCGCAAGCCAAAGTTACCTCTGCTGCAGTCGGTTCATGTCTACTCGTGTTCAGCAAGCATGCTATAAGGTAATGGTTCTCAACCTGTGGGGCGTGACTCCACAGGGGTCACAGAGCTGATATCCTGCATGTTAAATACTTACACTGTGATTCATAACAGAAACAAAATTAGTTATGAAGTAGCAATGAAATAATTTTATTGTTGGGGGGTCATCATAACACGAGGAACTGTATTAAAGGGTCGTGGCATTAGGAAGGTTGAGAACCACTGCTATGGGTTCTCAGAAAGCCACGCAGGAGTAGAGAAGAAGCCGGGTGGAGACTGCTTGACCATAATCTGAATAAACTCAAACAATGCATGGAATGTTAGTATACCATTCACAATCTGGACAGCAGGTGGTGCACAAGGCCTATTTGCTGAGGGACATCGAAGAGAAGGATGTAGGCGAACCAGGAAGGTGGAGATGTCATCCTCCAGCCCCATCTTTCTCCAGTCCCCAGTGAGCTGCACAACATAAAGGTGGGCATGGGGTCCTCCTCCCCAGGATGTGAGGTCCCAGCTTCTGTCCCCCCGACCCCAGCTTTGCTCTCATCCTCTCCAGTCTGACCATGCTGCCCTCTGAAATGAACTTTCTTCGTGAAGCACCGCATCCTCATCCCACCAGTGACAGCAGATAAGAGTAAAACTGTCCAAAGGGACCTGACAGCACTGACCAAAGGGGCAGAGGCTAGCCCGAGTCTCACTTTCAAGATGTGTGCTGGTTAGTTTTTTGTCAGCCC